GAGCTTGTGTATAATTCATTCCAGTTAATTATTTTGTTGGTATTTTATTAAGCTTTGGCCAAAAGAGGGKTTTTTCCCCCAAATCTGTAATACTTCAGACTTTCACTGAAGTAATTTGCAGCCACCTGTTTTAATTTACAAGGGGATTGCAATGACTTTGTCAGTGCTTCCTCACAGAGACAGATTAGCACTCTTTGAAACAAGTTCAGAGAAGATACATGAAGGGTTCTGGGACTGCACTGGGTTGTCCGTTTGCTAAATCAGCACAGTTAGGGAAGTTGGTCTGAAACCTAATTCAGAAATGGTTTTCCTTCAGTCTTTCAGCCAGGCTGCACCATGTTCATGYTATTTCTAGTAAGGAGGGGCTTATTCTAGAGGGATTGAGGATAAACTGCCTCTCAAATATCATAACATATGTTGGACTGTGTTGTAAAAGTGACTTCTGTTCTCCCCTGTGCAGCCACAGGAACAAGAGATTATTTGTTTTCCTTCCCTCTACTTACAATTTAAAGCCATGGCAGACACACAAAACCTGCTTGGTGCTATTTGTTTGGATTTGTGTTTGGCTAATTTGTGACCTGTTTGTGATTTTTGTATGAACTAAATTTAGTAAACATGAAGATCTTTCTTCATAAGAGCTGGTTTTCTGTAAGATGGGACAAGAAACTGCATGGGTGTGTTGTTTTCTTCACAACACTGTTGAGGACAGTTTAAAATAAAAAAAAAATAGTGGATACATTTGCACTAGGAAGGTAGAAATTTATAATTCCCTGCTAGTAGAAAGTGTTCAATGTTAGGAGTGGAATAAAAGCCTGAATTATGGGTCCAGTAAAATCTGGGATAACCACCTACTTGTTCTTATACTTAAAAGGAGGAAAGGAAACAGACCTGAAATTTTCAACCCCTCTCACTACCTCTAATGGTCAGTTCAGTGACATGGATTGCAAAGTAATCTCAGGAGAAACATAACCAATTTGTGACTATATAATATATATATATATGTATATATGTATAACTACAATATATGTATGCCTTTGTACAAGTGGGAGTGAGAGGGACAGAGTAAGAGAATGTGAATTAGAAGCTTATGGCACACTTTACTGGGCAAGGTKAAGTCAACGATTTAACATATTTATACATAGATGGATGATTTTTCTGAGATTACCTTTTAAAGAACTTCTCAGTATGTCAATGCAGCAAAATTCTTTGGGAAGATATCTAGGGAAATCCTCAAACTGGAGTGTCTGGAACACTGGACATTTACTGAGAGACATTTGTGGGCAAAATATACAAAAGAAGCTTTCCCAAGAGGCGATGTTTGATGACTGCAGTGAGTTCTTCAAATGTATCATGTCCTGAATTGGAGTTCAGATGGGCAATCAAGTTATTGCTCCATAAAACTTTGTCACTCTTCAGCTGAGTCATAACAACTGGTTGTGGGCATGACTTTAGTCATAAAAAATTACAATGCTAAGCTGAACAACATCCTGGTCTAGATGGTGGATGAAGGTGTGCAGCTGTTGAATATGATGTTGTTATGTGTGTGCAGTCAAGCAGACAACTGAAGAGGCTGAAGGGTCCTTAAATCTATGCCTGACTTAACTCAGCCTGCAGGCTCAGCTGCTTTGTCTTTCTTTACAGCTGGTCTAGGCTGAAAGCAGGCATGAGGACACCTGCCATCACTCCGTTAATGTGCAGTAACCTGTTCCTTCAAACAGACAGCATGTGAATTTGAACTGATCCCACCACCTAAACCCACTGCATACATCCTGGTAGTCACTTCCTTCAAAAGTTAGAATTAGAAATAGTGAAAGGAATGTATTTTTGAGTCCCTTCCTGCAAAGATGCAGGCCCACAAATACAGATTCAGAGGCTCCATTCTGGCAGCACCTGGACTCTGGCAGTGGATATGGCCTTATTGAACAGATGCCTTTATTGACTGCCTTAGGAAAACAGAATTCTGTTCAGCAAACCTGCAGCAGGTTTTGGGAAATGGCCTGACAGAAGATTTACAGCTAAATCTCAAGAACTCAATAAAGGTTAAGATCTAAATTTAAGTAATTTTCCTCTTTCCTTCTATTAATATTTTTCATAGTAGACTCACAATGAAATTTTAGTGCTGAAATGGCTCCAGAGTGTTAGCTTTGCCCATTTAATATAATATTTTTCTGCTTCYTCTGCTGGTCTTAGTGATGAAAGAAAGTATTTTCTTAATCATTGTCCTAAATCCCTTTAGCTTTATCTTTACATTATACATTATAGATTTCATTTTAAAAATACCTTTAAGAGGGGTATTTTTCATTCCAAGTCCAGTGTTACTATTTTACACATGGAAAGATTTTCTTACTTTTATCACATTTAACACTTTTCACTCTTAACCTCTCTCTTTTTTTCTTTAAAAGGTTTGTAACTGGCCTCACTCAAAAATTATAYATTTGCTCTTAGTCAGCTCCCTTTCCTAAATAACTTAGTTTTTATAAAGCAGAATAACAATATCTGTTAGGACTCCTTACGTTATAACAAGCTTATATATTTACTTTACTTTTCACAAAACACAGGGCAATTTAAGATAACAGGGCACAGAATGAGTAGAAGCAGAGTGGATTCCCAAACATTTCTACAGSGGTGTTTACTACATCTTTGATAGTATTGTAACTGACTTTTCCTTTATAGACCTATCAATGACTGGAGTACAAATTAAAGTTTATAGGAATTGGCCAATATATTTACATAAATATATGTTGGAATAAAAGTCTAAATTACAACATGCATCAAAATCTAACATCTTCATATCATAAATACAGGCCAGTACTGCTGACGCTTTGGTTAAAAACTATGATGAAAGATACGTAATTCAATTTATAGTTGCCTTTCTGTGAAGACACCCATACCCTGAGATTCCCTTGAACTAATGCTTTGCTGAGCAATCCTTTATCCAACCCACTGTAGTTCTGYATTCAGTGATCTCCCTGGGCTTTGCAAAAGGAAGCAAGTGTTATTATCCCATTGCATCAGGCAGGAAAACTAAGGTGAAGTGGCCTCTTCCAAAACTTGATGGAARTGGCAAAGGAGGATGAAAGAGACCAGGACTTTATCAGGGACAGTCCTGGTTGTAAGTTTTGAAGTTTACAATATTGCCAGCTTCTCAGCTAGAGTGTCCCAGCCTTTGAGAAGGTGGAAGGGATGAGGCTAACTGGCTCCACTGCCTTGGCACTGGACCAGGCTGCACCTGACTGAGATGATGCACATTTATCCTCATCCTTTGCCTTTCCTTGCTACCACCATGTTGGGGCTGGGGGATGCCACTCATGCTAGGATGGATGCAGTGCAGAACACATCACTCTCCACACGCAGCGATTCACCTCCTCCCAGCACTCGTGCACTCAGTGATGACACGCAGAGAGACTGGAGCTGGTTCCCCACCATGCCTTAGATGTGTGTGTCAGACCTCTGAGCTGTCTTTGGAGCTGTGTCTGCAATGCACTGCACTTCCACTCATTCCATAACAAGAATCTTGGAAAGTCCTTTTAACTCGGAAGCAGCGGTGTGCAAATGTGGCAGTGCCAGTTCCAGACTTTCCCCRCTAATGAACCCTTCTCGTGCTGCTTGCTTTATAGAGCCTTTCCTGCTGATGCCTTTGATAGATGAAAAAATCCTTCTACATCTTGCGTCATTATAGAGTGTAGATATATGCAAAGTGTGTCACACCCACAGGGTGAAACAACAGCACTGAGCAGAGTCTAAAGCATTTTGTGTTAGCATCCCCACTTGGTTGTTGGTAACAGGGAGTCTGGTGCCTAATTAGTGCAAAACCCACCACTCTTGTTAAATGTGGTCACCCTCATCGCTAAAATCACTTCASCATGTATTAGCCATGGTGGGAGATTATAGTTACAATTATTTGTTAAGTACAACATTTCAACTTCCTACAGAGTGACAGCTTCTTACAGACATCCCTCATATCTGAGCAGCAGAACCTGTCCCTTTGAGAAAAAGGGGTAATGTCATCTCTTCCATATTACATTTGAAAAGACAAGGAAATTCAGGCTGTAGGAGCTTCTCCTGGGAATAATGTTATTCAGAATACAGAAATTCAAGAAGATCTTGTGCTGGCTAAAGGGACACAAACCTGCAAATTACTGTTGAGTTTGTGTTTGCAGGAAGCAGGAGAAACCACTGATTATTCATGTGCCCTGTTACTCTAGCCTTGTTGTTGGTTCTGCCGGGTCTCTTGTTAACTGAATTCTCCTTCACTGAATGATTTTCACAGGATTAAATGTTAAATGCAAGCACTGACAATGAACAAAAGTGCTTTCAGCTCAAAGCAGAATGAGAAAGCCTGGAAGGGAGGGAGAGTATCACAGAGGATAAACCAATGTGACTCTTCCATCCTTATTAGGAAAGCATAGAAAGGTGTAAATCTGACTTTCCAAATATATTTTAATGTTGCTTTAGAAGAACTTAGGAGTTTTGCGCCATCATGGGCATTTCATGAAAGGCGCAGCCTCAGGTTGAAAACCCAAACATTTCTTAGCCAGTCATGTCTTAATGAAAAATCCCTTCATCAAAAAAATCTGTATCTGCCAACACATCTTGCAGACTATACACATAGAAGATAGGGACTGTGGGTAGCACATGTTTATTAATGAAGAAATTAACTATTTTAGAATCTTATGTAATTTTGAAATGCACAAGTTAAGAAAGAAAAACAAAAAGCACAATACATTCTCCTTTCTCATCCACATTTCAGTAAATGCAAAATAATGAATCTAAACYCATTTAAACTACATTTAATTTTCTTTCTAAACTCATCAATTGTATTGATAAGTCTTTRTCTTGCTTCTCCCCAGAGGTTCCTATGCTTAATTGCTTTACAGTGTATGAAGAGTGCAGGTCTAGGCACTGGTTACAGAACATCACACTGCTGCTGTGAGATCATTTTGGTTCTCTGTGGTTACTTGTAGGAACCATATACAAGACATGGCATGATTATTCCTTACCAGCTCATTGCTGCCATCCTCATCAAAATCCTCCTCTATCCCATCAGTCATATCTTCTCCATCCCCATCTGCATCTGGCCCTCCTTCAATAGGTTCTTCCGTAGAGTTATCTGCATTCTCTGATATGCATTCCTCTTGAATSAAATCAGCATTATCTTCCATTTGTTTCTTTTGGGCTTCTGTAAGGAAAACATACTCTAGAGATTCAGTAACCTTTCCTATTGGTGGCAAAGTGCTCTGCAGAAAAAACCTAAGCTCCCATCTCCAGATGTGTTAGCTTTGTAAAATTCTATGTGGTAACATCTACCAGGCAAATGCGATAGAGAACTTTTCTTTCAAAAAATAGAGCATAAACCAATCACAGTATCAATATGGTCATCTACCCCATCTATGGCATGCAGTGGATGAAGGCTTGATTTACCAACAGATCCACCCTTTTGATTTTCTGTTCTTGGAATCCAGTTGGCACAGGCACCATATGTTTATTCATGTGCAGCCAATGGGAAGTACATAATTCTCTATGCTCTGAGGAGCAGAAGGCTGTTAATTGCCAATAAATGAACCAGAATTTACATGAATTTATTTGGAATATATCTCAACAGCCATGCATGTAATAAAAAAATCCTTCTAGACAAGAAAACATGTTTTTTATAAAGTTTCACTGATTCCTCACTGGTATAATGTGCTTGAGTAACTGGAGAATGCCCCCCTCCAATCAACCAAATTTTGGCTTCCTATATTTTCTGCAAAGGGGTGAAAAGAAAGTTCACTTCCATAGAGGCCTGAAGAATCTTTTATGGTTGAGTTCATGCAGATAGCTGCGTTTTTGTGATTATGAATTGTGAAACTCCTGGATGTGCTGAGGACCTTCATTCAGTTAGCAGAAATCCAGAGGAGGATTGATGGAGGAACAACAGAGACAGACTGGCCAGAACAATGGTTGGGGGATCAGAGTCTTATTCCTATGCACATCARGAACGTAGATGAAAAAACTTCATGTATTCAAAGTGAATAGGGCCCAGAGAATTTTTTATGTAGCTAGATAAACAATGTCTTTTCAGTCTGAGGGTGATCAATGATGAAATTTCTAGGACAAAATATTTCTTCCTTGGTAACAAAACATTTCTTCCTTTGGAAGACTAYTGCTCTGTAACAGTAGTAGTCCTTCATTCCCTGTCTTGTTGGACAACCAATGAATCAGGGATTGCCTTGAATCTCTGTATTTTTGAAGCCCAATGAGAATATTATTATTTTACCATAAATTATTAMCAGCTACACATACTATTCAAATCTGCTTGCCTTCTTCTGTTCCATAGTCTTAAACTGAGACATTTGTTTTACCTTTTGCCTTTGAACATGTATTTTGCCTCTTACATTCATCTCTTCAGATTTTGTTAGTCTCTAGTCACTCATTTTGAAATTCATTTACTAAAGAAACAGAACAATTAAGCTTTTCTCCCTCAGTCACCTTATGTCTTCAAAAAGATTCTTGTATTTAAAAAATAAAAAGTCATCTAAGACAACCGCGTCAACAGTACTGTAGTCACATGTATTAGTAAAAGATTCAGCCCAGGGAGCCTCATCTTCTGTTGATAAGGTGTATACAATGCCATGCTAATTATAAGTGATTATTTGCCTTAGTGCAGAAGGAGATATAGATAGAATCACCTATGCCTACCATTTCTGGCCCCACCACTAAGTGTCTTAAGCCACTTCTGAGATCACTCAGCTGTGGAAATGACAACTGAATCTACTTGGGTTAAGGTTTTCAAAAACAGGGTTGCTGAGTTGACAGAAAACACATTTAAACAGGAAACCTTCTAGGATACAGCTGCTAGAAAGTTAGGGCGCTTAATTCTCCTAATCAGAACATAGAGTAGGTTCTTCAGAGGAGGTTCAGTACCTATCTCTTTGAGACTCTTCTGAGAAGCTAAATGTAAGATTTTAACTTTCAGACCAATCTCTACTATTACAGGAAGAATCTCTAATAATTTTTTTTCATGTCAAGAACATCTTATTCCCAGCTTCCTGGTTCAGATTTTTGCAAACAAAGGAGCTATTTCTACAGTTTTCCTGTGTACAGGAAATCCTATTTTCTATATTCCCCTATTGGAAAGGTTAGGGGTTGATAGTAGAAAAAGCCAGAGCATCAAAGGTTAGGGGTTGATAATAGAAAAAGCCAGAGCATCAACTGTTACTGTAAGGAGAGTTATCGTGCTGCTGTAGAGCAGTAACCAATGTATGCACTGAGCTTGTCTGGCCCCTAAAATCACATTCCTCCAGTTGTAACAAGTTTTAAGATTAAAAATTAAATATCCTTCAGGACAGTGATTCAAACTTAGAGAACCAAAAGGGCAAGATAATGGCCTGATTTTTGCTTTGTGTAAATGAGACACAACTCCTCTCTCTGATCCCAKTCTYAGTGAGGSCACACYTTCTGGCAGAGGAAAGTAAGAAATRATRTTGCCAAACCRTRGARAAGGAACAAAATCATCTCACATYTGACACTGTAAATRAAATAGTTCAGCTGGTGKAGCTCACACAAATCTTTTAGCTRWGGAAGCAATCATYCACAGACTAAYCACCCAGGCTGCACAACCYTCCTCATCAGCTCRGGAGRCTGAAATGGGGTTCCATGCTTACTGGGATCTCTGAGGTGYTGTTCTCCTCATACCCTCAATGAGAGGCAAGGAATATGAGGGATGAGTTTTGCACCTGCTGTTTTAAAACAAATATTTTGAAAACGGCTTTTAATCTGAGGATATTCATTGCTTATTTTCAAAAGGCATCAGACTGTGATTCAACACAAATCAACATTTTCCTGTTTGAGCTGATTTCTTTTTAAATGAGTTCACTGCAGTCCTTTAACAAAAGTGAAAATTGGAYATCAAAGTACAATGACGTGCAGATTGTTTTGCGTAGGAATGGTTTTTTTTTATAAAAGCTCTCCAAAGTAAGGATGCACAATATCAGAATATTTCAGTACACAAGTAGTTCAATGGAGTGCCTTGCAATTACATCTTCACCCATTATACCAACTTTTAYCTAACTTGCATAWAGTACAAAATAGAATCTAATGAATRCATATTGTGCACAGTTCTTCTGAAAGAGATAGTCACATTCTGTACTAATGGTTTACCTTGGACTTGAGAAAAAGCCCTCAACTTTGTGAGATAAACGATAACAGCTGGGGGACTGGTCCTTGTCTGTCAACTTAGGAAATTATTGTAAAGAAAAGTAAGACTATTTTTGAAAGTTTTTTGTTGTGTTTTTTCTTTTTTTTCTTTTTTAAAGTTACTTGGGAACAGGAGTGATCCAGATCTAAATTCTTATTTTGACTGTCTCAGGTTCATGACCCTCAGGCACTAATTCCCAGTGATGTTTTAGACWGTCTTGATGGAATTCTCTTTCTGTGTCCTGATGGGTTTTTGGCTTCATGTAACTGAATACTGTCCAGACACCCAGGCAGTTCTGGGCTCTAAGGCAGAATTTCTTTCACACATTTCASACAAAGTACATAAAAAGATTTCATCACAGAATGGAGGGATGAAAAAAATCATTCCGTTTTTCATGAGATAAGGCTTCCATTTCTCTGCTGGCTCTCATAAAATCAGCTCACTAGTACACAGCTCCTGTAAAAATATATACCATGCGATCTATAAGGAAATAGCAAAGAAAATACCATAGACAGGCAAAAGAACTGAGATTGTTTTCTATATATACCATGGTGAAAGTACAATCTTATAACTCTCAGAATGACTTTAAAGTGCTGCCAGGTGAGATCATTCATCTAACAAAATGAACGCTGCAATGACAGTAATAAAGCTCTTGATTAAATTATAGTATTGGATTTTTTTCATTCCCAAGGTTTGCTCTAAAACAAAACATTTTAAGCCAGAAAAAAAAGCCAAACTGGAGACATGGCCAGTTTCACAAAGAGGCCACAGCTTCACTCAGTAGCTGAGGCTGGAAGACATCTCTGGACTCTCCAGGTCGAATCCCTCTTCAAATCAGGGACAAATTCTTATTTTGGCTTAGGTCCATTGGTTCTCAGCCCGATGAATTTTGAACATCCTCAAGGATGGAGTCACCCTGCTCTCTCTCGTCAACTCCCTATACTGCTCAGTTACATMTCTTTTCCTTATATCAAACAGAAAATTTTCCTTGCTTCAAAGTGTTAATRTTACCTATTGCCCAGGCAATAATTCCTGTTATACACCATACTCTTAATGTGGGCAGCACAAGCATCCCCATGGTCAAAAATCTCTAATTCAATACTATTCAGTCAGTTTTGCAGTGATGTTTTGTCTTCACAACATCTAGAAAGATTTTTTTTTTCACTTCACCATAAAAAAGCAGTTCTTGAAATGATGGTGCGTGCTCTGTGAAGAATATTAATCTATGCTCCCAGTAGTTCTACCTGAAAGGCAATTTACCTTGCTTCAGGCCTCCATTAAGCAACAAAATTTCAGAAAACTTCCATTCTCTTTGGTCTGTCTGCTTGACTGGTAACRTGGTTCTAATTTAATTCATTTCACTACAAATGGCTTTTACCYACCTGCTTCAGCTCTTTGCTGCTTTTCGATCTTTTCCAGTCTCCCTAGCAAGGAGTCAATTTTTGTTTTGATTTGGGTTAATTCTTTCTTGATTGTTTGCAACTCATCTGATTTCACTGTGGAAAGAGAAGACAATACAAAACATGAAAAAAGCTGTATTTGTGGTAACATTCCCCCCCTGCCCCAGCAATGCATGCTCATTTTTTCTTTTCTCTGTAATAGAAAATCTACTCACTCATTTTTGTCAATATGTTTAAAGATTTCACTTTTAAAATTATTATTATTATTAATTAAAAATGCTGGATCCTAGARATTTATAGGATTCTAAGCCTTAATGGAAATATTTCATGTAAGGTGTGTTTCTCTGTAATAATCATTTCAGGAAAAACTCCTTAAGGACATAAATCTTCATAAATCCAGGTAACTTTTACTGAAAAACAGACTATAGTGAAAGAATGATTCAACCGTGACAGACAGATCACAATCTTGCAATGTTATTTTGCTGAACTATTTTGTAGTAATATCAACAATAATAGCAGCATGTATTCCTCAACAAGAGTGAATGGTAACATAAGTGCTAGGGCAGCCAGGAATGCAAGGTTATGGTCYAGTCAAAAACCTCTTTCCAATAAGAAAGAGTTAACTTCTGCTGYTTCAAAAGCTTTCAGTTCAGTTTCAGTTGGCAATTTCTTGTACTTTTTCCAGCTATGGATAACATATAAAAATATTTAATTTTATGCTCACATTCAAGGACATGGAGGCATTGCCTATAAATCATTAGCTGAAGTTTCAAGATCCTTATTGCATTACTCTTCATTTTTGTTTATTATTGCACTCCCACTGTCTAACCTAAGAAGGAGTAAATGCTTGGGAGGTGTTTTGGCTTCAGCAGAGACAGCACTACAAACCTCATTACATTACATCATTATTATGGCAWGCTCAGAAGATGTTTGTATGTTCAGAAGGTAGTCCAGTCAAGCTCACTTGCCCTGTTTGTGCTAGGATATCATGAGGAAAAGGTCAAGAGGAGGAAATGGCAACCCTGTGCTAGCATGRGAGAATAAAGCCACTTATAAAGGGCCAGAGCAGGCAACAGAGCTGTCACTCTTACAAGTCTTGTAGGAAGAAATGAACTCTCACCGTGATGGACTGGCAGGGGAAGAGCACTGAGCTGTGTCACTTGTCCCCCACTGCTGCAGGAGGATGTGTGTTAACTTTGGTGTGTGTGTGTGTKCCCAGAGCATGGATACACAAAATAGGAGCGCCCTGATTGAGCCTGGGAGAAGGGATGCTCTGCTACAAAGAAAGACACATTCCCTTTCTGTCAGAAGAGGCCTCTGGCTGCATCTTGCTGTTCAGTGACCCTTGGCCATGTCTGTTATCATGGTGTCTCAAGGCGGTTGGCATSGGACAGTCAATCTGATGATGAGGTGTGCAGACAGGCTATTGCCTGCTTCAGTGTGTTTGCTTCAAATCAGCCTTATTCCAAATTGGTAGCACWTTCACTGAGGTTGAAACCAAAGATTTTTACCTTAGAGTTTGGGCCATGTGGATTATAATCATAATATATCAGCTAAAGGCAGTAGGTTGCTACATGTGCTAATGCATTTGTTTAATCATGCTTGTTTAATGGTGCTTATATTGAAAAAATTCATTGTCTTACACTCTCATAGGCTGAAACCTCTGATCTCACATTGAATGAATAGAARGACTTAAAGAAGAAAGTATAAAACTAATGTTTGTGCTAGACTCTTATATGCAATACTGCATTTGACAGAATTAGTTTGTGTATTTATAGAGCAAGGCCTTAAAATGTTCTCAGAGAAATAACGGGTCACTGTCCAATCCCACAGATCTGAAACTAAGTGTTAAGATTCTGACAACTGTATATTTAGAAGGTTACTGATTCCTCAGGGGCAGTGTCTGGTCCTTGTTGGAGCAGCAAGGTAGAGCAGAATCCAGAATGAAATGGTGGGAATTGTTCCAAAAGGGAATGCTAAGTGTTGGCAGCAAACGAGTGAAGCCAGCTGGCAACACATTCCGTTCAGCCAGGCTGTTGTGTCAGGGATGCTCCCTTGACTGGCAAACTGCAGGCTGGCCAAGCCCAAAAGGTCAAAACTCASAAGTGACACAGCAAGGACCTAATGGTATTTGTTTCTAGTCTATTAAGCAAAGCAGAAAACATTTGCACTTCTGAGTTTGTCAAGGAAACTGGCACACACAGAGGGCTGCTGCTCAACTCAGGTCTGCTGCACAGGGGCTTCTGTATGGTGTCTCTGAAAAAGTAGTTTGGGAAGAATATGGCACCAGAAGGAGCAGAGAAAAMAATGAGGATTCGAAGAACAAAGCCCAGTGAAAAAGGACCTGGGGGTGCTGGGCAACAGATGACTGATCATGAGCCAGAGTGTGCCCAAGTGGCCAAGAAGGCCAATGGCATCYTGGCCTGTATCAGCAGCAGAGTGGCCAACAGGACCAGTGCAGTGATTGTMCCCSTGTACTGGGCACTGGTGAGACACCTCAAGGGCTGAGTCCAGTTCTGGGCAYGGAAATTGAAAAGGATGCTGAGGTGCTGGAGTGAGTYCGGAAAAGGACAATGAAGGCAAYGGAGCTGGTGAAAGGTCAGAGGGTAATTCACATGAGGAGCGACTGAGGGACCTGGGGTTGTTTAGGGGAGAACTTATCACTCTCTTCAAGTTCCTGAAAGAAGTTGTAGCYGASTGAGGATAACCAGGGACAGGACAARAGAACCTAGCCTCAGCTGCACCAGGGGATGTTCAGGCTGGATATTAGGAGTAATTTMTTTATGGAAATGATTGTTAAACATTGGAATGGACTTTCCAGGGAGGTAATGGGATAGCTATCCCTGGAAGTGCTTAAGAAAATACTGGCTGTGACATTTAGTGCTATGGTCTAGCTGATGAGGTGGTGATGGGTTAAAGGCTGGATTGGATGATGTTGGAGGTCTTTTCCAACCTAAATGACTCTRTGATTCTTGTGATCATAGAGTCCATTGCTTCAAGTTAACACTAAAAAGGACTGAAAGAAAAAAAATTATTCAACCAATCTGCATAAGTTTCAAATTTTCACTCTGCTTCCAACATTGTGATGGTGTAATTATTTGAATTGCTTATTGTTCTACTTTGCAGAGAATTGTACAAGTCTTCAAAATTATTTTCCCCAAAAAATTCCACTCTCAATTATCGTGTGGCGGGTATTTCTGTAGTAAGCAGCAACTACCAAAGACAAATAGGGAAGGACTSTGGTGAAAAACAAGTTGGGCATGAGCCTGATCTTTTCCCTTTTCACAGTTCAACCAAATCCAGCAACTAAGCACCACACAGTTATTTAATTGCCTCCAACCCCCAGAAGGATGGGGGAAAGAAAATAAGGAGGGTAAAAGTGAGAAAACTCATGGGTTTAGATAAAAACATTTAATAATAATAACAATAATAATAATAATAATAATAATAATAATAATAATAATAATAATAATAGTAATGGAAAATAACAGACAAATAATTAAAGTCCAAGAAAAAGAAGCGATGCAAATAAAAACACCAATGAACTGATGACCTGAGCAAACTCTGGCCACCCTTTCCCCTAATTTATTGCTGAACATGTTACCATGGTCTGCAACATCCCTTTGGCCATCTGGGGTCAGCTGTCCCAGTTATATCCCTCCCAGTTCCTTGTGTACCCCCAGCCTGCTCTTTGGTGGGGTGGGATGAGGAGCAGAGAGGATTTGACTGTGTGAGCTCAGCAGTGACTGAAACATCCCCGTGTCATCAGCACCACTTCCAACACAAATTCGTAACACAGCCCCATAGTAGCTACTGCTAAGAAAATTGACCCAACGCAGCCAAACACAGCACATCCCTCTGCCTAGCACTTGTGAGGCCATATCTGGCATGCTGTGTCTACCTCTGGGCTCCCCAGGAATGAAGAAGGCAAAGCCAGACCCTTCTCAGTAGACCCCATTGACACGCCAAAGACCTTTGRCATAAATTAAAGCATGTGGAATTGCATCTATACACAAGATATTTTTTTTTTTCCTGTGGGTATGCTCAGACACAATCCTGGGAAATTTGCATTGTAGGGCACTCGCACCTTCTAAATTCAACCATTTTGTGAGTCTGTGATTCAGTGGAATAGCACTTAGGAAGAACTTCAGACTTTTTAGGCAGTATTATGACAAAGATAAAATGCAAAGATTATAATTTCTTTGCTCCACATGTCCTGAGTATGTAAATTCTTCTTTAAAACACCATGGATTTTTAAAAATTGATCTCAGGCAAGAAATAAAGCTGTTGGTAAACATGACACCAGAGCAGCACRTGTCCAAAATATCCATTCATCTGGTTTTGAACAATAGAACAGGAAAATAAAATATCTTACTGTTTGAATTTTTCCCCAATTAGCAGATAAACAAAGGCCAGCAGGTGACAAAAGTGCACATATTGAAAGGGTGAGAAATTACTAATGAAATTTCTCAAGACCTGGCACCAAAATATCTTGAACAACTCTGACTAAAAAACTAAATTAACAGGTGAAATTTCATGATGACGTGAAATTGAAAGACATCATCTATTCAGAGCAAACTGGAATGAAAGAAGAGGTCAGGTGTTTTTAAGGCACGTTACAGTAGGGAACATGAGATGCAATTGCACTGAAAATACATCCTAAACTTAACAACAGAACTCCTACTCTCAGCACCAAGGCACCAGCAGAAAAAAATGTCAGTGACAGAATTATCCTTGAGCTGATAATAGACTGTCACTATAAGGCAGCCAGGAGAAGGAAAATAAGGTGCTAGGATGTGCCAAATGATGCAATGCAAAAGGTGAAGAAGCATAATACCTTTGTATGAGAACCTGGTGGGTACAGGTGGAACCAATGAATTCTAGCAGGTAAATGTGGAGAACAGCCATGAAAATGGCCATAAAAATGGAAAGCCTGTGGTGTGACAGAAGGGTTTTGTTTGTTTCCTGAAGACAAAAAAAGAAAAAAGAAATAACACTTTTATGGTAAGACAGTGTTAGCACAAAAAAAAAAAAAAAAAAAAAAAAAAAAAAAAAAAAAAAAAAAAAAAAAAAAAAAAAAAAAAAAAAAAAAAAAAAAAAAAGAATATGGGAAAATGAGAAACAAACTAGGCTGGAAATGAAAAGAAACAGAGATGGAAAAACCCCAAACCCTAACTACCTTTATGATGCAGGTTAAAGGATTAGATGATACCTCTATTTGCAAGAATAAAGAATTTGATTAGGTGACCATTTCCAGCCTTTTGTGGCCTTCCAGAATGCATCTTTCATTGAAGCATCTAACAACAAAGGAGACAAGCAACATCTACCCCATAACAAGAGATATAAAATTAAGATCAATCACATTTCTTAAAATGGAAGTACTAATGTCAAACTACAGCTATATTTGTCAAACATTTCTTTGTTGTAACTGCAAATTGATTCATCCACAAAGCATGATTCAGATTTTTTGGAAAGAAATGTCATATATTTTTATCTAAGCCCTTCATGTTTAATATACAATATTTTATCATACTTTATTACTTCAGATATCACTGAAAAAGGATCAGCTGAAGAAGCTAAATATAAAGTCTATGAGTCAAAATTAATTCATTTAAAGACATAATTCAATACATATCATAAGTCTTAAGTGTCTACTCTTTAATTTCAAGAACACAGAGTAGAAAAGATTTGATTAGTATTTTCCTCCTGATTTCAGGTGTGTGAAATGAAAGTGCATACTCTGAGAGCTTCAGTTTCTACATTTCCAAAAAAGTGAGATTTACCCAGTTCTAAATAGCAATTTGTATGTACTGCTTCATACCATTAACATGAAGAATTACTATGTGTGATTTACCCACAACAGGTTTCATCTTGTGAGTTACTTCTGGTGATTTAGAAATGATGATTTATGTTTTTTTCCTAGTTTTTGGAGTTATAAAGAAAACAAAATATTTACAACTTTTCCTGGAAAAATTATGAATTTAGGAAAAAAAATCAAATCTTCCTAATGTATTTTTGGTTTTGGAAGCACATTTAAAACACATATTGTCACTTTTTAATTAAACAGGAATTTACTGTGCTGGCAGACATTATTTTTGCATATGGGCTCATCAATGAGCAAGGCATTTTTGGTACTTTGTYTTTTTGTAACATCTTTGCACAACAATAAACTTCTGCCTTTGGATTGTTGTTTCGCAGAAGTGAATTCTTTTCATTCTGGTGATTTCACTTAGGGGTCTCCTGTGTTCTGACCTTCAATGTGACATATACGGGTTCATTTTCTGGATCCAGTCTGAGAATGGACAGTGTTATATCCACGAGATTTCCCCTTACGTCTGAAAAGTCTCTTACGGGAAGCGATCTCATGAGAGTTTTGCTATATGGGAATGAAAACTCAAGCATTGGCAATACAGTTTTGACACGGTTAATTCTAAACTTGCAATTAAGATATTTTATGGTCTCACATTTCATTAAAACTCAAAATAGCTCCTTCGCACAAATTATGTTTCTCCTTATTGAAGAAATCCTTTATTTAACTAACAATCAGTTACCACTAGAATCAACTGAGCATTATCCCAAGGGGTTCAGATTAGCACTATAGAGTAAGGGACTGCAAAATATTAAATTGTTTCATCCYGCAATTCAATATAACCGGCTTTTCCCAGAAAATGGCACAGGAAGAAGCAAAACATAGATTTTCTATTTTCAAATTGAAGCCTCTAAGGGAATGGCTGTTTCTCTGATAAGAGTCTTACAGCAAGCTGGGTACATTCCTGTCCAAGTCAACAAAACCACATTTCTATGTTTATGATGTGTTGACTGGAATGGACAAAAAAGTAATTCTATGGGAAAATTAGGCATGAAAATCTGTATACGGTGTGCCTGATTTCTTTTAAAGATGTGCTGCACGCAGAAAGAATATTTTGTGCAATTTGTTTCGTCACAATAAAAAGTCTCTGCATCTGTGTTCCAATTGTCTTTGTAATGAATTGAGGGTAGAAAGCTAACAAAGGTCAAAATGTCAGCCCATGATTTCAGTGACAGATCTTGCAGCTCTCCCATCCRTTAAAGAATTGGATCCAAGGATAATCTTGTCACCTGGAGCTCTAAGACTGACACTTTTCGAGTTGAGATCACACCTGAATACATTGAAGGATACTTTCACTGGGGCATAGCACTGTCTGTTAGGATCTGACACTCCTGACTGCACCTCCATTAAATAATTTACAGGTTATGCAATATTTGCCATGTTATGCAGGCAGTGTTTCGAAGTCTCATAGCAAGTGGCTGTGTATACTTGGACTAGGGTTGAATCCTACAATCTTATGCATTATTTAAGTCCTGGCACAGTACTACAAAACATTTCTTGAAATGCAGAAGAAATAATAAAGAAAATTTTGCAATAATTCTAATGGACAAATATCTATATGGTAATGCAATATTCTCTGTCTCATTCACTACCATGAAAATCCAGATTTCTGGGTGAGAACTTTTCTTAAAATATGTTGGGACACTAACACTAAGATCCTCATCTCTCTAGAAGAAATTAAGTCGTTCTGGAGAATGAGAAAAATATATAAAAAACTTATCTGAAAGTAATTCCTCTTTTCATGGCAAAGTGAGTTGGAAAAGCCCAATCTTATTAGAGCATTCTTAAGGACAGTTAGTGCTTTGAATGTACTGATTCTTCTATTTCTTCATAGAGATAAGACAACAGTAAAAGATGAACAAATCAGATCTAACTAAAGCTTTGATTCACTGTGTGAAAACCCAAAGATTCAAGGACTGAAAAGGACTAACAAAATAATTTAAGTTCTAAGCTTTCTAAAGTTCTTGAGCTGCATGCTTTCTTTTAAAATAATAGAATAAAACACCATTTATTGCTTAAAGTATTGAGGAAGGAGTTACTTGAAGGTGTGTATGAAAATGTCTCGACTCATGTTCATCCTCCAGAGAACAAAAGGAAGTGTTGCCACTCCCAGACATCCTTTTAGCGTCTGAGTGAGCTTCATAATATGACACTGAAATTTATATATCTTCCTGCGTGTTAGGCATCACAGCTCCTGTCAGTGGTGGTGGACATCCAGCCCATTCATTCCATGGAGATTTGTGAGTGATTGAAATGAASAGGCATCAGAGCCTCTGTTTGTGAGAACATCACCCTTTCCAAGGAATGTCTCAAGCTCCTTGTTCTGAGTGTACAACATTAGCTGTGCTTACCACATATCCATTTTTTCAGTCACATGCATTTACTTGTTTATTGCATGTTTTCCTTCAACATCTCTGATATCATCAGGTTAAATGATAGGATCAWGAATGGATCCTAGCAGGCTCACTAGAGGTCCATCTTCTTTTTTAGATACAAGCATGAGATATTTGATTATGTTATTCAGAGTATGTGCCTCAGTCCTGCTGATGCCATAATTAACTCCTCTGGCAGTAAGATGTTCTGTAGATGGATTCACTTATTTAGTGGCTGTATGTAAGACAGCAGGATGTTTTGCTGGCCATTCTAGTACTTCAAAAGGCTTATTGAAGTTCCTTCATTCTTTCTAATATCTGATCCCTACCTGATCTTTCTCTTCCTCTTCCAATGATGCTTCCAAGGACAGAATCACTCCACAAAAGGGGCAGGGGAAGACGGGTGGGTGCTGAAAGATGCACGAAGAGGAAGATGAAGTTCCCAGGACATATTACGGAATGGGGAGCTTAGTGAGCTTGGATTAGGGAATGCCTACTCTTCMTCAGCTCTTCTAAGGCCAACCCACTAAAGAGGGGTTAAATAACCCCAAGATGCCAATACTGTTTTGAGCTTCCTTTAAAACAGACAAAAGCACTTCGCCTTTTCTACACTCAAAGGAATCTGGTACAAAAAAAGTACACATAACCAAACCTCCCCTAGCCACCCCAGTCCACCCCCTCCATCATCTTACATACAACCCTCCAGTCTCCCAAGACATCAGTGGACATCTCTCTGTCTATAACAAGATTGTTATCTTTGTTTTATTACCAGCTGTTCATGAGATCTCATGGTGTGTGAGCAGTCAGGTTGAGAGGAGATTTTAAACAGGCTTCTTCTGAGGTCAAGGGAGCAGGTCACATATTGAATTTCCTTCAAAAAAGTCAAAGACTGCTCCTTGACTTGCAGGAAAGGCCTGGGAGCTTTGGTAATCAAGACAGTTTTTCAAGTTAGAGACTGAGGGTACCACAGAGCTGTATAGTAGAAGATGTCTGCTTGCAGAAATTACTAGAATAATAATTCCAATGATTTTCAACTGATTTGAGCAACTCACATTTGGATCCTGAGGAACAAGGCCCACTTGAAGTGGATCGTGATGCTCCTTTCATGGAGAAWACCCCTTTGCCTCTCCGAGTCGATGTCACAGCCACACGGGGACGTTTGAGTGGAATCACTGCACGGGGCGGTGGGGGGACCCGGCCGTGGTAATCAAACAACCTAGAAAAGATTAAGTCAGCTGAACTACATAAAACCCTCTGTGATTTCATGTCATGGAAGCTCTGTCAACTAGATTTGCATGTTATCTTTGAGAAAATTACCCTTTGAAACCATAATCRCTTTATATCAAGTCAAATTAGATTTCAAGGACCAATGCACATTAAGCGTCTTATTCAGATTTCAGTCACAGACCAGTGCACAGACCAGCTCAGACTTTTTTGTGTGTGATTTAAATGAAGATGGGACTTTGCTATTTGCCATATGGAAAATCCATAACTTGCTTTCCACAAGTCCACACCATTTCATTGCACGCAGCCAACAGCAGYACATTTTGTTGTGACATTTCAGCTCTTCCATTACATGCATGGCTTAAATTCTAGTTTTCTATCTGCTATCCTTAAAGATGTAAAAGTGAAGTACAAAAAAGAACTTTTCTGAAGACAACTGTCACCATAAAGAAATAACCTGCAGTTTGTGAAATAACAAGTCTTTGCATATGTTCTCTTTATTAAAGAATGAATTGGTTTAGAAATACTAAAATATCGAAGCATGCTTAAAAAAAGAAAAAAAAAAAATTGTTCAAACCAAAACCACTGCAGCAGGCAGATATTCAGACTTTTACCACTACAGCCAATAAAAGATACTCTATGACAAAAACGATCTATTGTTCCCAGGTAGAATAGCCCAACCCTAAAAATACAGTTATCAATAGCAGGTAGCTAACGTGTAGAGGAAAATAAAGGCAGTAGAAAAGGTGATAAAAGCTACAGTTATATTCGGAACATAAAAGTTATGGCTTCTCAATATGAACGGTTAGGAGAAAAAAAGTTCAGAAAATGAAGATTTTTCAGTTCAGAGCCTGAAGCAGAGGGATAAGCAATATCATCATAAAATTTTCTCAAATTTACTTGCAACTAGTAATTACGGAAATTTATAACTGCRTGTTTAATTTTCGCAGTGGTGAGTACTGTCACCCAGCTGGGCAGACACACATTTGGAAACAAATACACAATAAACAGTATTTCACTCACTACAGCATTTATCAGTATGAACAGGAAGCAGAGTCAATCTTAAATCTTCTAACCCATTTTCTGGCAAACACATATCTAGTGCTTAAATCGAACCAGACTTCTGTCTGCACTGTAATCCTAAATACAATGCAACCATCTCCCTCTGTTTCCATAGCTGTCTACAAAATGTMTCTCAGAGATCCTGCCACACTCACTGGATGTGAAATCTGTGGCYTCAAATATTCTCACAAATTAGCAGTTTCTCGCCATTGTGAGCGTAACGAGTCAATTGTGTGTGAAGAACACAAAACCATCTTTTTTCTACTTTAAACAATATTTTTGTTTATTGCCACTCATCATTTACCATATTGGATCATCGRCACGTTGGTCACAAAATCCTTTTGGACATTACTGGACAAAAATGTTTCTGATGAGCTGAAAGCTGTCATGCAAAAGTTCATTATGTGATTATTACTCTAAAGGTAATTTATTTTTTAGCTTCCAATAGTTTGTGTTACTTCTATAGTGAAACTTGAAACTSTTTCCATTTCCTCAAAATACATAAAAGAACTATTATCTAAGGGACTCTTATCTATCTACTCCTACTTTTGTTTATGAAATTATGCAAAGCTTTGGGGCTTAGCATTTTGTTTTATCAAGTTCTACATATTCCATTAATATGCTTGCTTATAAAAATCAATGTTTCCAATTATAGTTTTGAGCTACCATGCCTGTTTTCCTTGTTCTTATAATAAGAGAAATGATAAAAAGAAATGTTCAGTTCTAAAGCAATTCTTTCCCCCAGTAATCACTAATGTGAATACAACTATGCCTTTTCTTTCAGTCACCATTCTAAATTTACAGTTCTGGTCTTGCCAGCCTGTCTTCAKATAGATTTTATTTCAAAGCACTATCCATTCTTGATACTCTTTTCTGCCCCATCACTGCTTTAATTAAGGTAAAAAGACATGTTCTTCCTTCAGGAAGGTTGGGAARTAAATGGAATTAATTATTTCGAATATTAGAAAACAAGATCTATGGTTTGGGGTAAAACACAGAAATTTGGAAAGTTTAGGAGCTCAAAAGTTCAAAGAACCATGATTGTATTTCTTAATTTATATTTCCTATAGACATTTTAATAGTTGATACATCAAATTCTCCATGGGATTTTTTTCTTCCATGACTACTATATTGAGATTTTCATCTTTCCCTTCCATCAACTTGTATCTAAAAGAGACTGTTAACCTCCTATGGTTTTTATTGTCAACAGATCAGCATGTCCAGACTTATGAGGCCAACCTCATATTCATGCTTTCTACCATAAAATTTCTGCTGTCTTAATTCTGAAAGACATCTAAATAAAAGATTATGCTATTGAATAGATCTGTGGATACATTTCACCATCAGAGGTTTTCCACAACAACACAATTATCAAGACAGACACCAAGTTCTACAGAAACAACCTTTAATGCCCCATAAATATTTCTTCATTTTTTGGTGAAAATTTAACCATTATAGTTAATCATTTCTGCTACCCATAGCATACAGAGTTAGGGAAGAARCCTAGACATATAACTTTTATAATATGTGTGATAGATGAAAAACACTATTCTATTTAAAACCACAATTCCACAGATTAAATTCACAGTTGTAACCTTGGAAAAATTAAATAAAAGCCCACAGGAACTAACTTTTTAAAGACATRTGCTGCTCCTACTGTAAAGGCTGGACTGAGCAGGATTAAACTGCATTGATAGCTTTTACTCCATATGTTTATATCTCCTTATTTTTATCTTAGTCCAAAGGGAGCATAGTGATTTACATGCAAAACCAAAACTAGTGGCTCAAATTGAACCCACATCAGAAAAAAACAAACTTGAAAATATTGTTTCTACATTTTTTCTACGGTTTTCCTRAGCAGAAATGTATATAGCACATGCTAAGTTAAATTCAGGGTGTAAACTGCTCCCCTGCTACTGTCCATTGCTTTACATAAAATAAATCTTAGATTAGAAAAAGTCAATGGAGCAATGCTTTGTTCCTCTCTGACTCACTTATCCTGTGCTAAACCAAGCACTGCTGGATCCTAAATTGGTTACCTGTGATCATTCATGCTACTCCTGTGATGTGGGGATTCTGTTACATCTGAATAAAAACATTTTCACAGTGATGTGTCTAAGTACTACAGGCAGAATCTCAGGTATCCAAATTATTTTTGCCCTATAGAAACACACTTGTTCAATTTGTACTTTTACTTCTCWCAAGGTTTTTCTGCACTTCTAAATGTTCTTGGAGGGGATATTGTATCTTTTTGTACACATGGATGAAAAGACAAAGCCAGAATGTCATACTGATGAATTTTGCAGCCAGTATACATTGCAGTGAAAGTCAGCCTGGAAGAACTCTGTTAAACTACCATTAAACTCTTCAGCACAGCAAATGCCCCAAGCTCTTAGACAGGGATAAAATCAAAGGATCTGTTTAGTAAGCACACATTTGGTGATGATAATGTTCTCTGTGATGTATTCAAATAGTCTTCTGATATACAATAGAAATAATGCAATGAATAATACATAAAATCAGAACTGACCTGTTTAATCAAATGATAGGATTATATTATAAACAAACATTAGAAATKATGTAGGATGTACAAAAATATAGGTACACATACCGATTGTAGAAATCATCTCTGTAGTAATCATAATCAAAGACATAACCACTGTGGAAAGACACAGAAAAACAAGAATGAGCTARTTTATGGGAAAATACACACTGATTAAAACTTTGGTGGTAATATTGGCTTATTCTCAAATTTCAATCTCTTCTTCAACGTCCTTTCACTTCTTTTATRCAACCATAAAATGTATATTATGCTTGTCAATGCTGTTGTCAGCTATCACTGTATATTTGGAAATGTGAAGTCTGGGGCAGGAAGAACAGGGTAAACAGCTGACAGCACATACAGAAAGGATTTAACACRGTGAGACAGCTCTGTAATTAGAAGCTCATTATAGTGTAATTCTCTGAGTGATCAAATGATGTTTGCATTCCAAAACTGACACCCTCTTCTTTTCTGGTCTAACATAGCAYCATCAGTGGAGTAGGAAGACAGTTAAATACATGAAAGAGTGGTAAAGGAGTGAGAAGGKGAGCTGGGATTAGACAATTACTTCRATTTAGASAAACMTGAAAAGGATCAGACTGCTTGCTGGTCCTTCAGTCCACCAAATTATATTCATCAAAAAGAGAAAATGTAAAAAGTTAAGAAAATAAATGCTAAGTGAGTTTTACAGGAATGCATTTTCCCTCCGGTTCAGGAAGGAATACACATTACCATCTGGGAAAAGATGGGCACCATCAAGGAAAATAAACAAATGTGAAATTGCACAAGTCCATGAGAAAACTRTTTTTGAGCTGTCAATATCAAAGTCAGTCCCAGACTGATCTTCCTGGTTTTGCATTCCRTTACCAACTTTCTACTTTTGTAGTGAAGAAAGAGCAAAGAGTCTTATCTATTTCATACATCCCACAAAAACCCCAAACCCAACAAAACAATTGAGCAGATAAAGGCTCTGCATAGAAAAGTCACAAGGCTTTATTACTCTGCCTAGTAACACAAACTCTTTAAGTTTTTCACTGGCCTGAGAAGGATGATTAAGAATATAAAAGGTAAGAAGCATGAGAAAAGTATCACAAAAGAAAGAGAACCTTTTAATGAGAAAGGAAAAAGGTAGAAAAGAGAGAGTTAGAAAGGACAAAGCACAGAAGAAAACTGTCCTTGAAAATAAAGGGAGATTATGGARTGATAGTGTGATTTAGATTGGAAATGACCTTACAGATCATCTAGTTCCAGYCCCTCAGCATGGGCAGGGTCACCTGAATGATGATAGCTACATAGTAAAGMAGATTTTCTTACAGGGAATGGACTTGCCGATATTTTCTGCTCTTGAACACTGAGCAAAATGGTTTGTCTATACATAATTTGAAGAATGTGTCAAGAATTCTACCAAAGCAGATCAGGGCAAAATTCCCATCTCTGCCACATCTCTTTCAGATGCAAGTSCCCAATTGCAAATGATAGATTAAGTTGTACTGTCTGCCTGTACAATACTACAGTCGAAGACCATGAGAGTTGAAGACAACTGTGGTTCAAATAAATCAGGGAAAATAAATCCCCATATGTATTTCATGTGAAACACTTACTAAATTAAACAGCCCTGAGAGAACAGAACGCAGCAGCAGGTAAGCTGTGTGTGGCAGAGGATGTGAAATATCGTTAAGTAATAATAAACCATTTATAATGATCATGTTTCTGTACCTTAATATAAAACCAGCAATTTTTTTTCTAAACTATATGATAGCTCTTATTTTGTGTTTCACTTCAGTCTGCATGAAACTAAGAAGTAGCAGGTATCAAAGCTATTAATTTATTTACAGCTATTCACAGCTTCCTAGTGGTTTTATTTAGCTAAATGATTAATAGCTTCAGTAAGCCCATACTTAATATTCAGTGTGTGTTTTAAGTAGAAGATAACAGACAATTTGAAGAAAAAATATTAAATTTTAAATCCCTGTCACATGAAACCTTTCACCTGGGGTTGACATTAATTTAATTTGCATGAAGAGTGCACAAATTCACTTTTTCAAGGTTGAAGACCATGAAGCTGGAGAATGATTCACTTTGAAACAGTTAGAGTAAGGTTGAAGGACAACAATATTTTTCTGTAGTAACTCAGGTCTGACTCACAGAACAGAACAAGGACTGCTGGCCCCTCACKGGATATCAAACTTTTTTAAGTTGAATGGTGATATTTCAGCAGTAATGATATCTTTAAGAGATTATTGTGTGAAAGCAACCAGTACATCTCTCCACCTACAGCCATAATTGTTCCTACCTTTGCATGTCAAGGGACAGACATTAGATTTGGTCAGTGATGTGCTATAACACCAAGCAGAAAATTAGCACAGATAATCACTGGCACTGAGATCAAGGTGACTGCAAGTCTCTTAACCTCTTGAGAGATGTTCTTTAGCAACCCAGCAGCCTGTGTAATGGAGGCCACAGGAAATCACTCATACAGTGTTGAATACCAAATACTCAGCAGGTCAGAGGCAGAGAAAGGTTTAAATGAGCCTGTGAACTGGTGGAGTCAGCAGTTTCCTAATGGCACTGCAAACAGGCAGATTRCTTACCCTCAAACATATGCCATCTCCACAATATTAAAAATAGAACTGTGTGCATGATGCTGATGTTAGTGCAGAAGACAGTAAAAGACACTGCTTTATRTGTGTCTCAAAATGAGACAAAGAAAAGTAATCAATAAAGTGTGCTTCTAAAATGCAAAATCCATGGTTACTTTTTCTAACTTAGTGTAATCAAGACAATCAAAACAAAATGTCTTTTTTTGGATTTCACATAACACTATACATATATTTAAAACTGTGTGTGCCTGAAGAATGAAGGAGTCCCTGGTGACCAAATATTCAGAGCTACAATGCTGTATGTATTCAAAGTTCCTGTGCATGTCAGCAGTAGCAAATGTGGCAATCAGGCAAATACAATGTTATGCTTCTGCATCTTTGAAATAAACTTACAGTTGTTATTTTGTCTTTATGGACCTGATGCTGAAAACATATTAAGACAGTGCAATCTTTTCTGCGTTTTGTATGCTATGTCCACAAATGCTGTTTAAAAACTAATGATCACATATGTTTTAAATTAGTCAGCTCCAAACTAGTGAGTATAACTGCGTGGAATTATTCTAACTTTAGGAAAGTTAATGCAGAACAGAGCAAAATTACATTTTGTTATTTTCCTGTCAACAAGAATTTTGTCTTGCACGTAATTCAGCCTTAGCTAATAGCTTTTTCTTTCCACAGGTACAAAGATATATTTAAATCATAAATGTTTACAAACCAGACATAATGTATCTTAGTTGACAGTGCTAACATCGTTTATACTGTCAGTTGTTTCTCTGTCGTCAGGCCTGAACAAAAATATCAAATAAAAAAAGCAATATTCTTTCAATCATGCTCTTTTGGGGAAGCATATATCAACTTAATGGTTGAAACAAGTATTCCAGTAATTTGTAAAATAATTTCTTTTTTTTCATGTGAAAAGAGTGTAGGAAATTGTTCCTGTTGAGTGCAAAAGAGAATCAGTMTAAACTGATAGGATGTTAAAAAAGTAGTGGGTGAGGGTAACTAGATGATTTAGAGAATAAGCATTGAGAGAYGGAAACTTTCCCCGTTAGAAAATCAATCAGATGGAAGTCACTTTCATAAGCTGTTGAAAAGAAATGGTGGCAATTTCAGGCCATTTTTCAGTGGATAGTTATCCACACTCCCAGACATGAATCAAATTGTTGGGCTGAATCCCACCTTTACCTTAAAGACAATTCAATTTCAGGTAAGGATGAGAATGCTGATAGAAGTGTAGGGACACTGCTCTTTTGCAGTTCAGGCTATATATTCTGCAGAGAAAGAGGACATTCTCCAGAGTCTGCTTTTTTGCTGACAGATTTACTGTCAAAAGGCAAACTTTTTCATTGATTCCTTCARCTCATATATTTGATATTTACAGGAAAAAGGAGGGGCTGGAAGAGGAAAAGTAATTGGAGAGAAGTAGAAGTATTTTACATGCATTTCCATAATGCAGTTAGGAGGGTAAAGAGGTAGAGTTAAAAACAACAACTTAACACCAAAAATCCCCAATCACTTGTCCCAAACTTATGCCAAAGAATKGAACATAACCTGCTATTTGTATATTTCAATTAAGGATCAATTTGCAAAGTCTCCATAAGTAAATAAATATTTTGGTTTTATTTTTTTGTAATTCTGTGCATTTATTCAATTATTAAGAGCAAGATATATTTTTCCCTGAGTGGGGAAAAAATATGTTTTTTTGTTTTTTTTTTTTTTTTTCTTTTTTGTAATTCTGTGCATTTATTCAATTATTAAGAGCAAGATATATTTTTCCCTGAGTGGGGAAAAAATATGGAGTTAAATTTTAAAAAGTGAGCAAGGAATATAGTACCATAAATGGAGGGTTCTTTTCCACAAAACTGAAAAATTTTTGTAGTTCTAATCTGAAGAGGTGCATTTTGTCATTTTGCAAGACATATATCCATGAAAAAGCAGACACACAGAACTCCATTTTCCATTAAGTATCTTTCTGCAGGCACGAGGCAGAATTTACTTGCAATATGATTAGGCTGTATTTTTTCTGTCTCCAGATATGTCCTTTCTCTACTCTCATCCTCTCTTCCAAGAACAAGTTTCCCAGTGGAATGTACTTTGGGAAAACTCTTGAAGTTACTTTGGAATCTGAATTTTAGACAAAACTTGGGCAAATATTCATACATACATACATACATATATTCATGCAAAGTTGCATATAGACAATCAAGTAATGAAATCACTAAGACATTTCCTGATGAGGATTAGGTTAAGATTGTGAAGCAGAGAATAACAAAGACAGTGAGATCAATATTCAGACTTTGGGGATCAGCTGTTTTTGTGACTGTTTATGGCAGCCAGACAGACATGAGCAATGCAGGCACAACTAAATTCCAACAATTTTCTGTACAGCTAAGTGCTAAATATTAGAATTCCTCCTAATTAACRCTACTAAGTGTGGCTGCAGGCACAGCCCATGGTTAACAATGTTATCYTGATGCTTTCTACAAATAAAATAGTAGTTTTTAAAAGTAAAGATAC